CAGGGGCACTGCAGGGATGCAGAGCTGATATCCACCAGATGAAGGCGAGGACGTTTCTACAGAGAGCAATCCCCAGTGCTATAATTGCATATTGCAGGCAGGATTTAAGACTCTAATGTCAGACTCTGAGAACTGTGTTTTCGTCATGAGATCTTTCACAAAACACCAATTATGCTCCATCTGCTGGTGGGATGGTGTCTGCTACTCCTCTGAAGCAGCGGGTGCTGAGCACACTTGGAGATGGGACAACACGGTAGGTGAAGCGTCCCTTCCATCCCTTCTGGTCCTTGCGTACCAGGAGCCTGGCAGATGCTGCTGTGAGACGTGGCTGAGCATTTTGCTCTGTTGACAGTCTCCATCCTCATCCTTCTGGGCACAGGGCTAAGCATCCCCCGCAGCCACAGCACCCACAGCTCCCCCTGGCACAGCACTGAGCCGCACAGCGCAAACCCATCCCTCAGGATGCAGACACGTGGCTCATCTCTTTACCAGGGACTGAAGGAGGGTGGGAGGAGAAGACGGGGGATATTCCTGCCTCAGGATCACCGTGCAGCAATCAAGCTGAGCAGCTGAGGGGAGCACAGGGCGCAGGATGGGACGCATAGGCTCTGGGTGCAGGGCTCCATCCGTGCTGTGGTGCTATTGGTAAAGGAAAGCCCTTTTCCACCCCGTTTTATGAATATTCACTTAGGACACAGCAGCTGATGATGCACAGAATGAATAGCACAACGTTTTTATTTCTGCTGGTAGCCTGAAGCACATTTCCAGATAGATGATGAAAGTCGGGAAGATGCTCAGGTCTGAGCACACAGATTCAACTACCCAACTATATTTTCATGTCACAGATAATTATGGCATCCTGGAAAGCTGACTGCTAATTTAGCTAATTATTTAGCTGGCAAAGTAAAGTGTTGAGGCACAGATGTCTGGATCCTTGTTTGAGACATAGGGCAGTTGGAAACAGACTAATGCTATTTTCCATGGAACGTTAATGAATTTAGCCACACGCCCTCCGATTAAACAATATCGTGTTCCTTGTTTGCTTAGGCAGATGGAGTGTGAGTTCCTTGAGTGCTGAGGGCTGGGAAATTTTGGCTCCTTCCTCATCAGCCACTGCAGCCCCTGGTGAGAGCAGCAGGCAAGCCAGGCAAAGCTATCTGCATTGTTTTACACCCTTTTGTTTCACCTGCAACCCCAAAGCGTGCACATGCTGCAGTCAAGAGATCAGCCTTTTTGAGCTTGTATGATTATCCTTCACAAAGCACTGCATTTCCCTGAGGTGGCTGTGGGCTGTGGATTGGGAGCTGTGGGCTGAGAGTTCTGCAGAAGAAATGAGAGCTGAGTTTGAGAACACATTGCTCCATCTCACCTGTAAGTCTGTGCTCTGAAAACATCACGGCTAAGAATGAGAGTTGCTGTACATATTATTGCTCCCACCGATCAAAATACCACTGCGTTGAATAGCTTGACGAGCTGTCACTAAGAATGACAACCAAAACTGGAATAGTAAATCATCTTTGAAGTGCAGGGAAATAATAACATTCTAAATTTTCCATCGCATTAATGAAGTTAGACTCATGGGAGTGACAAGGTCCCCTTGGGGGTCGGGACAGACAACTTTCAGTAATTCCTTCTGTTTCTGTGGCTTCCAGGGACCATCATGAAGGAATTATAGAATTCCAGGCTGGTTTGGATCCTTAAAGCGCACCCAGCCCTACACCTCAATGGGCACGGACACCAGAGCCCACAGCCCCATCCATGGCCTTGGGCAATTGAATGCAGGACCCATCCCCGTTGTGCCTGGTACTGGGTGGGAACAACACAGAGCAAAGAGCAGCATTTTCTTCTTTCCCTTCGGCTTACGGGTAGGATGAGAATAGCAAAGGGTGCAGATGGAAGACAGGAAGACCAGCAAGACCGCATCTGCCGAGAGCCTGGCCATGGTGAAAGCTCAGCAGCTGGGTGGAGGGCAGTGGTTGGTGCAGATGGGGCATCCTGCACTGGAAATCTGAAAATTCAGCACAGAAGCTGAGAGCTGGCCAGGCAGGTGTGCATGTAAGCGAGACCAGGCAGAGGGATGGGGACATGGCCTAGGAGGGAGAAGCCCGTGTGGAGACGCTGAGGGGGACGCTAATGGAGATGAGGATCATGGACGTCTTATCAGGGCAGGAGAGCAATGTCATCCATGGGGGCCAGAAGGGGCTGCAGCAGTACCTTGGGAGGAACGTAGCCTTGCTGCAATAGATAACGTTATTTTCTATTGTGCAGGTGAGGAGCCTGTGGAAATGAAGCAGAACCAAGGGCTGGGCTGACACTGCACCATGTTGGTTCCTGCTCTGGTACGTCTTCGAGGGGAGCAGAAACAAGATCTCTACAAGGAGCCTTAGACTGTGCTGGTTTTCATTGCCCTTAAAATCTCATCCTGCATTACCTTGTAGCGTTCATGAGAATGAAGTCTTTAGCCCAGGCTGCTCTCAACCCAAGCTGAACATGCACCCCAGGAACAACAGCCAGACTCAGCCTTTCCTGCTGGCAGGCCTTCCCGGGTCGGCTCAGTTCCACCACTGGGTGTTCCTCCCTTTTGGTCTCATGTACCTGCTTGCAGTGCTGGGAAATGGCACCATCCTGCTGGTTGTGAGAGTGCATCGCCAGCTCCACCAGCCCATGTACTATTTCCTTTCGATGCTGGCCACCACAGACCTGGGCCTGACTCTGTCCACCCTGCCCACCGTGCTGCGCGTCTTCTGGTTGGGTGCCACGGAGATCAGCTTCCCCGCCTGCCTCATCCAGATGTTCTGCATCCACACCTTCTCCTTCATGGAGTCCTCAGTGCTCCTGGCCATGGCCTTTGATCGCTACGTGGCCATCCGCTGCCCACTGAGGTACTGCTCCATCCTCACCAGTGCCAGGGTAGCACAGATTGGGTTGGGGATCATCTGCCGATGCACGTTGTCCCTTCTCCCATTGATCTGCCTCCTGACGTGGCTGCCTTTCTGCAGCTCACGTGCGCTTTCTCACCCCTACTGTCTGCACCAGGACATTATACGGCTGGCGTGCACAGATGCCACCCTGAACAGCCTGTACGGCTTCGCCTTGGTGCTGGTCGCAATCCTGGACTTTGTTCTCATTGCACTGTCCTACGTCATGATCTTCAGGACTGTGCTAGGCATCGCCTCCAGGGAGGAGCGGGCCAAAGCCCTAAACACCTGCGTCTCTCACTTCTGTGCTGTCCTTATCTTCTACATCCCTTTGGCTGGGCTGTCCATTATGCATCGGTATGGAAGGAATGCTCCACCTATTAGCCATGCTGTCACGGCCAATGTCTACCTCTTTGTCCCACCTATATTGAACCCAATCCTCTACAGCATGAAAAGCAAGGCTATTTGCAAAGGCCTCCTGGGGCTCCTGTGTCGGAGAGCAGCCTGGCCTGGCCGTGCCCAGAGCTGTTAGAATCATAGAATAGTTTGAGTTGGAGGGGACCCTTACAGACCATCAGGTCCCACTCCCCACAGCTAACAGGGACACCCTCAGCTCCATCAGTGCTCAGAGCCCCATCCCCTGACCTTGAGTGTCTCCAGGAATGGGACACCACCACCTCTCTGTGCCACTGCCTCACCATCCTTATTGCAAACAACTTTTTCCTTATAAATAAACCAGATCTCCTCTGTTCTAGTTTGAAATCATTTCCCTTTGCCCTATCACACAGCCCCTGTTAAAGTTTGCCCCTTCTTTCTTACTGCCCCTGTAGGTACTGCAAGTCACTCTCAGGTCTCCTGATTAGGTGGGACTCTTTCCTGCATGAAATGCCCAGAAAAAGTGCCAGTCCAAACAGAAGCAGGAGGCTATGAGAACTGTGAGTTACTGGGAAGAGCATATTACAAGGAGTGCTCAGAAAGCTGAAGGCTCTTTAAAGGCATCAAAAGCAGGAGTCCAGCTGGGAAATGGGGGAAGTGCTTGGTGATGAGAGCTGTACTTAGGAGCAGATAGTTCAGAAGATCTTGATCAGTCTGAAGCTGGTATGGAGGAGAGATTCCACCAAAAAATATCACTTAGATATCATGAACTCCCAGTACTCGGTGTTGCTCACCTGAGCCTGGAACAAAGCTGGATGTGAAATTGCAGAGCTGCTGGACAGGGGCATCACTGTGCCACAAATGGTCGCAGTGCTGGAGGACAGGTGATCATCAACTTCCCTTCACCTGCAATGGGGTCTCCACGTGATTTCCCTGAGACCTGCTGATCAGTGTGCAGGATTTCCTCTCCTGATGGGATGACAGTGGTTTTGAGAAAGAATATTGTGGACAAGCACCTGAGTAAGAATTTATGGGTAAAACTTTTAGAGTCAGCTGGGCTCCTGCAGGGGGAAAACCTCGTAGGGCAGTGGGACTTCTCTGAGGGTGGCTCCAGATGGAGGATCCTGTTGATGTAACACACCTGGATGTCACGGAGACTTTGACTAAATTGCATTAAAGCAATCACTTTGTAAGGGGGTTGGAGGAAAGCCTCACCCTGGGATGGGAAGCTGATGAATGAAGGGTAGGTTGTTTCCAGTCCAGAGAAGAGTCAGCGGGGGCCTCTCCAGTGGATGTGTCCTTGAACTCATTTTGTTCTACACTTCCACCAGTGACCTGGATAAGTGCAGAGTGAAGTGAGCTCTCCAAGCTTACAAATGATGTGAGGTTGGGCACTGTATTGGTAGTAACTATCTTCTGTATTTTTATAAGATTGTTTAGATGTTCATTGCAATAGCAATACATTTCTGGCTCTGGACAGTATTTGTCCTTCCTTTTTCTATAACAAGCTCTTGAGTGTACCATAGCTGCAACTCATGGAGTTCAGATCTTATTTGGACGGTAGTCCCATAGAAGTGGATCTCAAAGCAAGGGGTTGTGGCACAGCTGACAGACAGAAGCTTGCTGCGTGGCAGTAGAGGTATGTAATACACCTGGCAGCCTCGCTGTTGATATTTCTTTAGGACATTCACAAGGAATGAGGAAGCGTTATAAGATCTTACCAAACTCAGTGCTCAGTCCTGCCAATCCAGGAAGAGGGCTCTGCCTGAGGAAGGGAACTTTGTGCTCTTTGGGTCACGTCAGCAAACCCATCAGCAAAACACTTACGTTGAAGAGAACTGGTCCCAAGACAGACTACTGGGGGACACTGCTCACCACCAGCCTCTGCTTGCACACAGTGCCATACAACACAGTCCTCTGTCTGTGGCCTTCCAACCAATCCTTATCCATCAAATAGCCTACCCCTCAAATCCACGTCCCTCAGATTAGTACTCCAGGTGAGCCATGCCCAGCGCAGTGCAGAGTCTTGACCCAGGTGCAGACCTTGCACTTGGATTTGTCGAACCTGACGAGGTTCAGCTGGCCCCAGTGCTCAGCCTGTCTGTGTCCCCCTGGATGGCATCCCGTCCCCCTGCTGTGTCACTGCGCCCCGCAGCTCGGGGCCATCAGCAAACTGCTGAGGGTGCACCCGACCCCACTGCCAATGGCATTGATGAAGATATTAAAGAGTATTGGCCCCAGCACTGACTGCTGTGGGACACCACTTCTCACTGATCTCCATCCAGACGTTGAGTCATTGGCCACCACTCGATCCTGCAGCCGGTTCTTTATCCACCAAACAGTCCACCCATCAAACCCTTGTCTTTCCAATTTGGAGAAAGGGATGCTGTGGGATATTGTGTCAAAGACCTAACTGAAGTCCAGATAGGTGACATCAGTGGCACTTTGCTTGCCCCCTGTTGCAGCAACACCATTATGGAAGGCCATAGGTCGGTTAGGCAGGATTTGCCCTCGGTGCAGCCATACTGGTTCTCCCATATCCCCTCCCTGTGTTCCATGTGCCTTAGCACAGCTTCCAGGAGGAGCTGCTCCCTGGCACAGAGGTGAGACTGACAGGCTGGTATTTACTGGGGTCGTCCTTTTTACCCTTTTTAAAAGGGTATGATGTTACCTTTTTTTCCCAGTCACAAGGGGCTTCACCTGATTGCCACAGCTTTTCAAACACTGCAGCAAGTGGCTTGCTAACTACAGCAGCCAATTCCCTTTGGACTTGTTGGAGCAAGGAGCATGCCCATGGAGTTTTTGGAGCAGGTCCAGAGGAGGACCACAAAGATGATCAGAGGGCTGGAGCACCTCCCCGATGAGGACAGGCTGAGGGGACTGTGGCTATGCAGCCTGCAGAAGAGAAGGCTCCGAGGAGACCTTATGGGGGCCTTCCAGAAAATGAAGGGGCCTACAGGAAAGCTGGGGAGGGACTTTTTATAAGAACAGGACAAGGGGAAATGGTTTTAAACTGGAAGAGGGCAGATTTAGACCAGATATCAGAAAGAAATTCTTTCCTGTGAGGGAGGTGAGACACTGGCACAGGTTGCCCAGCCAGGCTGTGGATGCCCCCTGCCTGGATGCCCTCAAGGCCAGGCTGGATGGGGCTGTGAGCAACCTGGGCTATGGGAGGTGTCCCTGCCTGCAGCAGGGGGTTGGAAATGGATGATGTTAAAAGTCCCTTAAAACCAAAACCATTCTGTGATTCAATGATTCTGTGACTCACTGGGCACGTCTGCTTCTGCTTTTTTGGCTGATCCATAAATTCAAAGGAAATGATGCAATCATTTTCCCCTCAAGATAGCACAAGAAAGATAGTGAGTCCCTGGAGCATGTCTAGAGAAGGGCAAGGAAGCTGTGAAGGGTCTGGAACTCAAGTCTTACGGGGAGCAGCTGAGAGAACCGGGATGAGGAGGTTCAGGGGAGACATTATGGCTCTCTCCAACTCCCTGAAAGGAGATTGTGGAGAGGTGAGGGTCAGCCTCTGCTACCAAGTGACAGAGACAGAACAAGAGGGAATGGCCTCAAGAAGCAACAGATGAGGGTCAGGTTAGATACAAGGAGAACTTCCTTCTTGGAAGGAGTTGTCAGTCACTGGGACAGGCAGCCCAGGGAGGTGACTGAGTCTCCTTCCCTGGAGGTGTTCAAGGAGAGGGTGGATGTAGTAATTAGGACACAGTTCAGTGGGAAATACTGGTGGTAAGTGGAGGGTCGGGCTAGACAGTCTTAGAGATCTTTTCCAACAATAATGCTTCTATGATTCCATGTATGATTAATACTGGTGGGAATAAAACCCATTGGCAAGTCAGAGACTACCATGGAGTCTTGCCTTGGGTTGCCATCGGGAGCTGAGAAGGACTAGAAACATGGTGTGCAGTCAAGCAGGACTTGAATGTGTTGTTCAGGAGACAGAATGAACATTTGCAGGGATCCTCTCTGTGGGTGCAGTGAGATGTGATCCTAATGTGAGGAGAGAGTGATGTTGGGAAGAACTCCCTGTCAGGGCAGTGGTGACTTTTAGGCACTGTCCTCAGGAGATTGGCCTCCTGAAAGCACTGGACTGCCCACCCATCTATTCAGGTTTGTCCTTTTTCAGTCAAGAGATCATTTTTCAGTATGGGTTCTAAAACATCACCCAAAGCCACATCACTCCATGAAATTGTGTTTAGTCCCTGGTTTTGGTACGGGCCTCCATGGCATTCCCACCACTTTGTCCAGCCAACTCACAAGGAGGGGCACCATGGACTGGATAGACTCACGTTCCCTTCTGAATGGCTTCAAGCTGTGCCAGGGGAGATTCAGGCTGGACATTAGGAGATAATACATCTCCAAAAGAGTGGTCAGGCACTGGAATGGGCTGCCCGGGGAGGCGGTGGAGTTACTGACCCTGGAGGTGTTCAAGGAACGTCTGGACGTTGTGTTGAGGGACGTGGTGAGAGCTATTGGTGATAGGTTGGACTGGATGATCTTGTGGGTCTTTTCCAACCTTGGTGATTCCATGATTCTACGATTCTCTCCCCAGCGACCACCTCAACCTGCAGCACAGTGATCCAGATTTGACAGATCTATTTATTTACACAGAAGGGAATCCAAGAGTAGGACGCTAAGCACTTGCTACTGTCTGATATTATTGGATGGTGATGGCACATCAGCACATAGCAAAGGCTGATGTAAGTGATGCAGCCCCTTGACATGTATCTGGTCAACAAAGATCCCCTGGGGTCCTTTCGAGACCTCTCCCGCTTCCACTGTAGGATACAGGGCAGTGGGCAATGATCTGAGAGGAGGACAGTTCCCATGTGCTCAAGGACAGTGAGAATAACCAGGGATTTTTTGTGTCCTGCAGAAAAATGGGGATCCTACCTCACCAGAAAGGCTGTGGGTGGGCATCAGAGCATGAAGAACAGTGCAGCTCTGCCTTAGGCAGGACTGCTCTCGGAACGGCTCTTAGACGAACTGAAGTTGAGTCTCTGCTCCTGTCTTTCCCTGCCTAGTGCCTGTGGTCTGTGAAGCACTGCTTCCGCACTGCCAGAAGAATGAAGGGAGCTGAAATTTGACCCTCCTCCAGAAAAGGGTCTGACAATCCTTTTTTCTCCTCCTGTCTGCTTCTCCTTC